TTGGGTTGTTTCAGAATCTCCTACTGTAAAAGTATCTCCAGATGTCATAAGAGAGTCCAGCTCAGTGAAGATCAGCTGTGAGACTCCAGCAGATGTTAGAATGAATCAGTGTTATTTCATCACAAACAGAGAAGAGAAGAATCTAAGAGTCAGTTCATCATGTGAGCTCGAGCTCACTGGTGCTGAAGTGCTCAGATGGACAGGTGTAAAATCCCCTGTATCAATCTACATTAACTGCTTCTACACAATACATGAGCGAGGCATCAATAAACCATCATCTGATTCTCCTCCCGCCACAGTGACGGTTCTAGGTGTGATATTTCACTGCTGTTCTTCTGTCTTAGAAACTGTTACTGCAGTGTTTTTGACAACTGAATCATTTGTCTTTAAACAGATGCACTTCAGAAACCCTTCATCAGTGTTAGTGATGATGATGACCAGCTCAGCATATCATGTGAAATACCACTTTCAGTCAGAGCTGATTTCATCTGTAGCCTCTACACTGAGGACGATGTTCTTCTGTATCAACGGGTCTCTCAGTGGAGTCAGTCTGGAAAGAATCTTTGTATGTTTTATGTAAGTCGTAGTGAACTCTTCACACGATCAGTGAACAGCAGACAGCTGATCTGTGTTTATTCACTAAAGACTGAACCTGAGATCAGATCACCGCACAGTGACACATACACCATCAGAGGTGAGTTATTATTGTTATCATTTTTAATTAAATGGGCACAATGATTAGAGACACCTATATAATTCTGTAGTCAGTATGATTTATTATGTAGGCCAGTCTGATATTATGAAGTCATTTGTGGGAGATTCATCAATAAAAAAAAGTCAAGTCAGTATCTTCAAAACACAAACTAATATGAAATAAATTGAATGATAATGATTGCCGTTACGAATGTTTGTGCTGTTATTTTCCCTCCAAAATGACTACAAAATTACAGAAAGTAAAGAATTTTGCAGCTTTCTGAAGAGTCAGATGTTTCTAATCTGAGATCTCTCTAAACACATTATAATTTTTTTATTCATTAGATCTTGCTCAGGTCAAGTTGAGAGCATCTGCTTCAGTTATTCTGGAAACAGACACAGTTGAGCTGAGCTGTGAGAATACTGAAGATCTGAAGATGGAGAAGTGTTACTTCAGCATAAATGGAGAAGAAAGTAACTCAAAAGTGAGCTCATCATGTCAGCTCTCACTCACTGGATCTCAGATCAGTGTTTGGTCTGGAGGTCAGAGTTCATCTGTGAGAATAAGCTGCTTCTACACTGTGAATTTGTCACAAGTTCAAAAACCATCTGCTCACTCTGATCCAGTGACAGTTACAGTCCAGAGTGAGTTTTTTTTCAAAAACCATCTGCTCACTCTGATCCAGTGACAGTTACAGTCCAGAGTGAGTTTTTTTATGGATATGTAGAAATAACTGATCTATTTACAGCTGTAAAACTTCATCCCTTTTCTGAAAAACAAATGACTATACATCTACTTGTATTTGTCCCTTGTGTGATAGTCTCAATGGTGACCTCTATTGATGAAACTTTGACAACTGCCACAAAAACAAGTGAGTAACCGTACATCTCAATACACCTGCAGAGGATTTTTTTGAATATTAATTTGCTGTTTATTTTGAATGAGTTGTCTAAACCAGTGCTAGGTGGATGATTTTTTTAATATGTTTATCACATTATATGATTCTGTACAGCTCTGTTTTCAGTTTTCTGATATTTTAATATTGTATTATGTTATACTGTATTAATAACACAGCTAAAGTTTTATTTCCAAACTAAATGCAGTTTGTGACATTATTGAAATCTCTTTGCAGCTTCAACCTCTACCGATGAAACTTTGACAACTGCCACAGGAACTTGTGAGTGAATATCATTTTTAAAATTAAACACTTACTTGACAAGCACACAGAGGCATTTTGTTCATTTCACTTTAAACTGCTTCAAAGTAAAAAAAAAAAAAGTTCTTACTGAGTTCACTGTATCGGTTTATTTCACAGCTTTGTTTAATGTGACTGTAACTCTTCAGTCAAAGCATTAGCAGACAAATAGTGTCATATAAGTACAGCTAAACTGTATAATTGACCATTGTCTGTGGAAACTGAATTACTCCATCCTGTATCTGTATAGTGTCATGTCTGTCGTATCACATCTCACTCTGACACACTGTTGAATCTATCAGCTGTTTTCACAGCAACCTCTACTCAGCCTGATTCCACCAGAGAGACAGAAACATGTAAGAATATTTTACTTTGCTTATGAGACAATATTACATCTGTTAAATGTTAAATACAAATAATTATAAGACAATTTTAAGACACAGTTACTTAACAGTGATATAATCTAGATAGAAACACTGATGTCTGTAATACAGTAGTTCAGTTTTTACTCTAATCTGATTTAATCTGAGATCTCTTCTGTTGCAGCTGTTCCTCACACTGTTCACACTCACTCTGAAGGTTGTTCATTCACTCACAACACAAAACTGCTATTCTGAATATTTGTAAAATCTAACACAAACCTCGAAATGTCCTTGTTTCGTGATCATATATTATGTACATGGTACAGTGCTGTGAAAATGTATTTGCCCCCATTTTCATTTTTCTCTTTTTGTGCATATTTTATATTAAATACTTTTAGATCTTCAAATGAAATACAACAAAGGCAACGCATACAGTTTTTATTTTTATCGATGTATTAAAAAAACCTGGAAACAGCAACAACTTTAACAGCAGTAACTGCAACCAAACACTTCTGATAAGTGGAGATCAATCTTTCACAGCACGAAATGTTTACTTAGGTTGCTTTGTTTTATTGTTTTTCTTATTTATTTCTGAAACAATTTTGTAAGGGATATGCACTAATACAAAAGAAATCAGGATGGGGCAAACACTTTTTCAAAGCAAAAACCTGAACATAATTGATCTGATTTGGTACAATTATGCATATTCATTCCCTTATTGCAATATAAACATGGCTTAAATAATTATAATTAATAATATATTTAATGTAATTAAATATCTAATAAAAAAAATAAAATAATTAAAAAAACGTATTTTCTTCTGACAGGCTCATGGCTTTCAGTAGTGCTGGTTTTCTCTGTTATTGGTTTATTTCTGTCTGGACTCGTAGGATTCATCTGTCTGTGCCGCTTCACCAGTAAGTACAATGTACAGGTTTAGTTGTATGTAAACTGATAAACTCTGTGATATAGAAACATATGATAATAAAGTCTGTATCTCTGCAGGTTCTGCTGATGTTCTCACAGAGCTGAACTACACCTCCTGCCAGCTGGAAACAACGGCTCTTTTAACCTCTTCTGTCTGCCCCTCAAAACATGGATGACTGTCAGGATCATGGACCTGTTTTGTTGTGTTTTGCCCCTGTTTTTGTTCCTGGTTTTCCTTATATGGTCTTTTTCCTGTCCTCATTTAGTTTAGTTATGATTCCTGGCACCTGTGTTTGTTAATTATCTCCAGTATTTAAGTCTTTGCCTTTGTGTTCTGTGTTTGTCGGTTCTACTCGTTATGTTTGTGTGTTTCCTGCCATTTCCAGTGTGGATGTACCCTGTGTTCCGTGAATTAAAGACTGTTTTCATTTATTCCTGCGTCCTGCATGCTTCAACAGCGAACTGTGACAGAGACCTGTTTACTTTCTTTTCCTTTCACTAAAGTATTAATTCTAATTTAGCCTATATGTATATACTTCTTTATTCAACTATTGTAACACATTGCTTTTAACACACACATGAATTCTAACAACAAAGTTGACAGTTGAACTGCAACAATTTTAGAAAATGATCATGCAGTTGCTTCCATATGATTATCTGATTAGATTTTTGCATTAAGGAGCAAAGGTGTAGGCCTACCTAATAAAGGGACCACTGAGTGTCCAGCTGTGTGTATGAAATCACTAAGCCATTCGCTATGGTATGCAAAAATTTTTTTTATATAAACCTGAACAAAGATGTGTGTGAGGTGTATACATAAAGAGAGAGCAGGTAAGAACAGTCTAATTACTTTATTGAAAGAAAGATGCATTGATGTGGTACTTGAGTTCAGTAAGTGAATCGTATTGAATCAATAGCTGCTTTGGTTCGGGGAGTCAGACTGATTCAAAGTTGTAAGTTCTGAGTTTGTGAGTCTATTGAACTATTCATTTAAAGGACCAACTCATTAGAGTCATTTGTTTGTGAATCCTACAATTGCAAGCACTGTGGAAAACACTGGTGAAATTTGTAAATCAAAGTTATGTCCACCTAAAACTTAATTAAACCCCACTGTACTAGAGTAAAGCTTCGCTAATGTTACAGTGCACACAACTGTGAGTGTGGTATCATGATCATGTTCATCTTCATAAAATGCATTGCATAAAACACAGCTTCCTGTGGTCTGATGTGTTACTTCCTAATTCACCCATTGTGTGAGTCTGTTTTCTCACACTCACTGTAATGGAGTTGTTCATCTTCATAGTGTTTCAGCTCCTGACGGAGGTTCAGTCTTACAGTAAGTCATCTCTGTTGTTTAATGTTGAATAAATACTGTGTCCACATTTGTAGGGAACAAATTGTCATTGTCTAAAATATTGATCAGTAGAGCTACAAGTGAACCTACCTGAGTTTTGCAGTAAAATATTGTGTTTATAATCAGCAGTTGACTTATTTAGGTTTTTAGAACCCAAAAATATGTGATTAATATTGGAATATTATTGTGCTTGTAAACATTGTCAGTGAGGAGATGTAATGTGGTGAATGATCTGTTTTGGGTTGTTTCAGAATCTCCTACTGTAAAAGTATCTCCAGATATGTGTAGGCCTACCTAATAAAGGGACCACTGAGTGTCCAGCTGTGTGTATGAAATCACTAACCCATTCACTATGGTATGCAATAAAAAATGAAGATAAACCTGAACAAAGATGTGTGGGAGGTGTACCTGTCAACCCTCCCGTTTTCCCCGTTTTTTTTCCATTCTATCCCGCTATCATCCCGTTTAAATATTTTCCCGTATTTTTAATCTTTCTATTAAAAAAAATCCCACTGGCCTTATTTTATATGTTTGCTACATTCACTTCCGGTAAAACTTCCGTAATTTGTATGGCCCAAACCTCATTGTATGAATAATCACGTCAACAAATTCAAAGGTTGTCCAGTTGCCAGATCTTGTCTGAAACGCATCTTTCTCACACGATCGACGCGTACAAATTTCAACCCATTTGTCCCCTCAACTTGGCAACCTACAGCCCAGTGATGCTACTGATATGTGTGCAGGGGCAAGAAGTGTGCATTTTGACAAGATAATGAATTATAAAACTCTAAAGATATAGCCTACACTAAGATATATTTATGTTACTAAATGAATATAATTGTTTGATAATAATTGTTTAAATTAATCTAAAAATAATATAATAATAAAATATAAAAATGTTTACTTTTGACCCCCCTTTCCCCCCTCCCGTATTTTGGTATCCAAATGTTGGCAGGTATGGTATACATAAAGAGAGAATATATATTTTGCTTTCTTGGTGGCACCTCCCCTCACTGCAGCCGCCTGCTCTCGCCTACATTTCAGGTGAGGTGCATCTCAAACAAGCCTAATGTCACGCGGTTTTGTTTACTACACACATATGCTCGAGTGATTTCAGCATCTGCCTTCTCACTAAATAAATACATGAACAACATCCCCAGAACTGCTCTGAGAGTAAAAAATATATAGTTTCTGCCAGAAATGTTATACTATTGTTCAGTAGAATGTACGTACAACTACTACTATTAAAATTATTAAGGAATAATCACAATATTTCTTCCATGTTATAATTTTAATTGTAAATCCCCTTTGCAAAAAATAAAATTTGTTTAATTTTCATTAATTAAAAGATAAATTAAATTAATGTGTTATACCTTCATTCGATAACCAGAAACATTTAAATACACAATTCAGAATTTCTAAAGAAAAAAAATTCATAAGGCTATAAATAAAAGTAGCTTTTATGCATTCAAATAATTAGACATATTAAAACACAGAATTTGGTAACAATAAACAAGGTGAAAAAAACAGAACATTTCACAAGACCCTAAACCGGGACAAGGGAAGTAACGTATACAGGACAAATCAATTAGGCCCAAAATACAGGACGGCTGGCAACCCTA